ACTGCCACACTGCCTGTTTGTCCAAGAGCCTATGAAGAGGCTCGGCTACACTAGCCTTGTTTGGAAGGAAGGAGTTGTAGAAGTTCAGAAGGCCCAGAAAGGCCTGTAGTTCGGCCTTGGACTTTGGCCTAGGAGCATGCAAAATAGCTTTCAATTTGGATTCAGCAGGGTGAATCCCGGTAGCATCAATTTTGAATCCCAGAAAATCTGTAGAAGGCACCCCAATTTTACATTTGTCCTTCTTAAGTTTGAGGCCCGTTTGCCTGAACCTTAGCAGGACAACCCTTAATCTCTCAGCTAAGTTGTGTGTAGAGTCTCCAGCAATTAAGACATCATCAAAATAGGGGCAAACCCCTGGTATACCCCGTAGTGTGTTTTCCATTATGCTTTGGAAAATTCCAGGAGTGACATTTACTCCAAATTGTAACCTCTTTACCTTGAATGCCCCCCTGTGGGTCACAATGGTTTGACCTACAGCAGCAGCATCATCAACAGGTAGCTGTTGATTTGCCTGAGCTAGGTCAAGCTTTGCAAAGATGCACCCCCCCCTTGAGGGAGGCCAGAATATGACTGACCACGGGGACAGGATAGGCATGTTGCTGCAATGCCTTATTCAGAGTGCATTTGTAATCTGCACAGATGCGAATGTCCCCATTTGCCTTAAGAGGCGTGACAATGGGGGTCTCCCAAGGACTGGAGTCAACAGGTTCTAGAACTCCTTGCTGAATCAATTTGTCCAATTCTGTGTCAATTTTACCTTTCAAAGCAAAAGGGACCCTTCTTGCTTTAATTCTAATAGGGGTGACAGTGGGGTCTAACTTCAGTGACACAGGGGGTCCTTTGTACGTGCCCAGCTGGGGGCTGAAAACATCTGCAAATTCTTTGCAGACTTCTTGTAGGTCTATTGTTTGCAAGCTATTGAGCCCTGTGACGTGTATTCCCAAGGCCTCAAACCAATCGAGTCCTATGAGACTCGTTTGTTCACCCCCTACTACTATTACATCTAGTGGACCTTCAAAATCCTTATACTGTACGTTAAGGGTGGCCTCCCCTTAACATACAAAACTCCACTCTGGAGTTTTGAAAGTCTGTTAACACAATGTCGGAAGGCCTCAGCTTGGCCTGAAATCCGCTGCCAGAACAAATCTTCCTAAACGTGTGCATGGAAATGATTGAAAGTGCAGACCCCGTATCCAGTTCCATAGCCAATGGAACCCTTGTAGCTTCACTTTAAGTGACAGCTTTTTCTTGATGGGCTTGTGTGTGCCTGTCCTATAGATGCTTCTTCGCGAAGCACAGAAACCCACCCTGTTTTGGCTGGGGACCCTGGTACCTTTCAGGCGCAATTCTTCCCGAGGTTGTACCTTCTGACGGCCCAGACACACAGCTGCAATGTGTCCCTGTTTTCCGCATGCCCTGCAGATAGCGGAGCGGAATCTACAGTTGGTCCTCTTGTGGCGACCTCCACAACCGAGGCACTTGGGGAGAGCTGAAGAGCTTTCCTTCTGTTTCCTTTCTTTCGTGGGGGAGAGACGGTCTACTTCATCGTCAGGATCCTCCTCTGGGTTCCTTTGGACTCCTTCCTGGTGCACGGACACAACGTCTGGAGTGCTTCTGATCGGCCTCATGTTCTTGATGGCGCCGCCCGCTGCCTCTTCTGCAGTAACCTCTCTCAAGGCATCTTGGAATGATAAGTCTTCTTTAGCAAAAAGTCTCTGCTGCAATTCTCTATGCCTCAGTCCGCATACAAATCTGTCTCTCCGCCGTTCTTCTAGATCCTTGAACTCGCAGTGTTTAGTGGCTTTTCTCAGCGCAGCAATGTATTCTTTGGCTGATTCTCCGGGTCGCTGATCCCTCTGTTCGAAGGTGTGGCGCCAAGCGATGACGGACAACTTGGGCTGGAAGTGTTCCTTTAGTAGTTTTTTGAGATCTGTGTAGTTAACAGATTCTAGAGGTATAGGTGCTGCTATGTTTTCAGCGATTTCGAATGCATCTTGACCGCAAACGCACAGCAGGGTGGCGGCTTTTAAACTATCTTCTCTTACTTGATTGACTTTAAGATAGTTTTCCACCCTGGCTACGTAGGACTCCCATCTTTCCGGATGCGAGACGTTGAATTCTGAAAGTCTTCCAACTTTTGCCATTTTTGTAGAAAAGGAAGGGTCTATCAGCCAGCCTACCCCCGATGCTCGCTAGATTGGCGGGTAGCTGCCGAGTCAATGCCATTCCTACGGCTCAGGGTAAGCTTACACCTGTCTTCAGTCGATGTAAGGCAATCCCACCCTCGTCGCCAGTGTTAAGTCCTTCGCGAAATGGCAACGACACGAAAAGCAGTTCTAGTTCTCAGGAACTCTTTATTTATGTTCAGCATACTGGTTACAAGACGGCGACAACGCCCAAATCTCCCTGCCTCTTTTATAGGTGATTCCCGGGCCAAACTGCAACATTTGGCACGCTCGCACCTGCGCATGCGCGCGAGTGCTGGCGACAGCCAGTCTGGTCCCGGGCACCTTGCACCTGCCCAGGACCGTTGCAATGCCCCGAGCCTGCTTCCACAGGCTCAGGACATAACAGTTATCACTCTTTTTTTTGGGTGGGGGAGGAAATATCAGTGAAGAGTCTGAACAATTACCCTTGCATCTGTCTGGTTCTCTTTTAATTTTCCTTCTTACTGAATTTGGGTCTTATTTAAATGAGTGCTCAGGACCTAGTCCCTCCCCTCATGCTCTGGGTCAGAATAGGTGATGGAACTCTTTGTGTGGTGTTTAGTTTCTAGTTGGTATGGCTTCTTGGAGTCTCCTTTTTGGGTTTTGCATCTTTATATTTTCTATTGTTCTTTTTGTAAACCTTCAGAGTCAGCTTGAACATTTTATAAAATAAAGAACGTAAATACAAACTTCATTGAAGCAGAAGGGATATTCTTTTCCTTCTTGTGCCATATCCATTATCGGACGTTGGCAATCATGTTGGCGATCCTGTTTTTATCAGCAACCGCACGAAAAAGTGCTGCTGAGTTTTGTCCAAATTATACAACAAATAAATATTATAAATATAAATATACAACAATAAATATTATTCTTTATGAGAATGTGAGTTGGATTGTATTCTCAGGTCCTTGATTTGGTAAATTGTGGTGATGATTTTAACCTTTATACATTGCCCAAAATCATCTTTGGAAATTGGCAGCCTTATGAATTATAAGGCATATAAATCATAACAGATTAGCATACAGCCCCTTTATCCAGTATAGTGGCCTTATTAAACAGAAGCAGAACAGTTTTCATTTTTCTGTCTCAATGTTTTCTGAGAACAGATTATCTGGATCTAATCCAATGGGTAGCCTTTTCACATTGGGAAACTATGGTTGAGCATTCTCTACAAATTTAAAATGAGAAATAGGGTGAAGAATTTATCCACATGATTCTAGATTAGAGGAAGAAGGAATTTTCCAACAATTTCTTAAAGGTAGATTTTTATCCTTAACAATGATAGCACCATCTGTGCCTTCCCCAGAATGAGAAAAATGCCTTCAGGATGTTTTTGCTTGTGATTTAATTAAGGAACAAAAAGCTAGGTAATTCATGCTGGAAAAGTGACTAGGCACTGAAAATTAAGACACACTCATGTGCACATCCCTTGGAGAAATTATATCTAAATAAATGCAAAAACACTAAACTCCAGCTTTAAGAGTTTCTCCGTCTTCTTTGACCTTTCTAATTTTCTTTCATCAAGCTGAAAAAAGAGCAGGTTAAAAAAAAAATTCAGAATATCTGTTGGCAGTAACTTAAAACAACTGAATGGCACATGCCCTAGCATCAAGACAAACTAATTTGGGATATTATGCATCCTAACGAGGATGGATATGAATACCAATAGCTTCAACTTCATTGAAGTTTCCATTTAGATTTCCCCTCCCTCTTACTTTCTAAACTGAAAAAGTGGAATGAAATGAATTTCCTGAGGATGACTTCCCTTTGAATTTATTTAAACTGTGAAAGACCAGGAAGGATGCAATCTGTAATGGGAAAGAAGCCATCGCTTGGGTATCACAAAACTTAAATCCAGAAATACCAACTAACATATGCTACTGCCAAGATCCTTTGCAAGATCATAGGCAAAGAAAATAAAGCCATCTACTAAATATAATTGGGATAAAGTGAAAGGTCAGAAAAGGGAACTTGTGGAAAGCAGCTTCATTGGAAGCCTGCTGTTCTGCTTTTCTCCCTCTTCTATACCTAAGAAATGCTTGAATCATTGGTTCACTAGCAAAAGCAAGTTGTCAGCATTCTCCACATGGCAGAAAAGAAAATAAACCTTACTCGTTTAATGCATAAGAATCTTAAATAATAAATGAATCTGGGCTTACTTTTATTTTTCAGCCTTTCCCAGTCCTTTCCTGATATGCTCAGAAATGTTCATACTACCCAGAGGACTTATGAGCACTAAAGTATTCATGCAGCACCAAAATTAGAGAAAGCTGACACTTTTATAGGTTAAGCAAGTCCTATATTAGTTCTTCCCCTTTGTGATGTTTTCTGTTCAATATTCCTAGAAAAACTTAAAAGGAAAATAGTTCTTTCATTTGTCAAGAAAACAGGAACTTAAAGCACTGATCCTTTCTGATTTCATTAATTAACAACCATTTTCTGCCTTAGATATTAGCATTTACCTGACAAATGACAAAGAGATATATATGATTTAGGATAGCATCTGGTCAGGATACATCCCTTTACGTACATTCTGCAACATTCCATTTTAAGATGAAGTTCCCATGTAAACAAATCAATGTATGTCATTCACAGATAAACTAGGGAGTAACTGTAAAAGCACACAGCTGTCATTTATTAACTGGGATTATACCAAGAAACTAATAATAATCCAAGCCCTAGAACTTGCTAGAGGTTAAACTCAGCAGTATTTTATGTTAAGCAGCAAAGTTACTACATGACATTTCACATGCTGAAATAACATATATCATTTATACAGGAATAAAAATGCACCTTACTGCCACAACTGGTCCACTGTCAAGATGTTGAAGAAAAGGGGCAGCTCCTCTGGAAGAGGTGGACAGCTATATAAATTTGATTAATAAACAAATGCTTAATCATTTACAAGGAGAAGAATTGATTGGTTTAATTTTGTAATAAAAATTACTTTATATTCTTCATTAAACACATCTAGTTTTGATTTCAAGTACTGTAAGTTTTCTCCACTCAGAAGGAAGTACTGAGCCAAACTTGTTTCAATGCCTCTGGAAAATATCTTGAAATTAAATATGACCATTTTAAGGTCTACCTGATCTATACCAAAATACTGCTTAAAACAAATGGTCTCAGCTTACAGAATATAGAACACACTGCATAACTAATTTATGAAACTTAATAGCAGAAAATGTGATGGCCTTTAGAAAATTAGAAAAATCCATAGGGGGAAAGATCTATCAAAAGTTACTGACAGTGATGGATGAATGGACAAAACCTCCATATTCAGTTATGCTACAAAATGCCAAATGCAGGAAGCAATAGCAAGGAGCAGCTTATGAGTTAAACCATTATAGCCTGAAATATTTGTGAAAGAACAACTTTTCAAGAATAAAAGTTATCACACTTTTCAATACAACCTACTATACTTCTTAAGAAATAATTAAACATTTATCATCATGTTAAAAATGAATGTTGCTCAAAGCAACCATGTCCTTCAGTATTTTTTGTAACAAAGTTCAATGATGAATCCCAGTTGATTCCAATTACTATCCCTTTATCAATTAATATTGATCAGATTTCATGAATTGGGATTCATGAGTCCTGTCCCTACTGTTTTTGGATGGCTGCAACCTTCTGCATTTAGCAAAACACTGCAAGCTGCAGTGCCTGGAAGAAAATATTTTAATTTTTTCACCTTGGAATAATTACAAATTTGGGGCTTTTTCTAACAATTGCTTCTAACCAAGCAATCATTATTTCTAATGATGAAGAACCAATTTCAAAAAGGTGGTGGGGTGAGGATTAAACACTGTGAGAAGTTAAAGATATGATAACAAACCAAATTCCACTCCAGTCTCTTACCTTCTCACTTGTCAGAAGACTGAAGTTTTTCTCTATCCTATGCTTGAATGCTTGTTGCTAAACAGATTAAATGCGACAAAGCTAATTTCTTGAAAAGAGCCCATTTCTGGTCCTCCAGTTCTACTAGCTTTTCCATTAGGTTTATTGCAACTTTCTCTTTTTATAATCCCTAAGTATGCTTCTCAGAAGTCTCAGAATAAGCACTTAGAATATTATAATTTCAGTATATTGGAGAATGCCAAGTTGGAGAAGGCTGATTTAATGCTTGCTTCAAATGTTGAATGATAAAATACATATTTATTTTTGAAATGCTGTATATTGATCTGACAGGTCTGTTTTATTAGTTTGAGACAACCCAAATAAAAATTTTGCTTAGTTATTGATGCTTGCTTTATTCTGCAAGTTTATTTACTATTTTTTGTACTGTATTGATTATTGACAGTAAGCTGTTTTGAATATAAGAAAGGTGGCAAATGAATAGCTATTTTTGCCCTAATCATCATAATTTAACAATTATTTCTTCTCTCCCCCAAAACTTGGGAATTGTACTTTTAAATGGGAATGTTCACTCTAATGCAGAATTTAAATACATTTCCAAATTACAGTTTTCAGAATTCTCAGGAATGGCTGGCCAGCAAAAAGAGTTATCCCACATATTAGGCATTTAGTGACAGTTCAAAGTTACAACGGCATTGAAAAATGTGACTTATGACCCCTTTTCACCCGGATGACCTTTCCAGCATCCCCAAGATCACGTGATCAAAATTCAGACACTTGGCAACTGATTCATATTTATGACCGTTGCTGTGTCCCAGGGTCACATGATCACCTTTTGCAACCTTCTGACAAGCAAAGTCAATGGGGAAAGCCAGATTCACTTAACAACTGGGTTACTAATTTATCAACTGCAGCAATTCACTTAACAACTGTGGTAAGAAAGGTCGTAAAATGGGGCAAAACTCACTTAACAACAGAAATGTTATGTTCAGTTGTGGTTGTAAGTCAAGGAGCACCTGTATTTAAGCAAACTAATCCAGGATGGTAGCAGTCAAAGATACATGCTGGTATCTTAATTATAATAAGCGTAACATTAAATTTGCTTTCCTATCCAATCTTCAGCTATCTTATTATTACTTTGCTATTGGTCTTTGTCTTCCTTGACCGTTATCTGTATTTGGAATTTACTCCACAACAGTATTTCAATATATTTCTTTGCTGCAGTCTTCCTAAAAGATAGGCAACCTTATATAATCCTTCCCTTTTGAATCAAAACATGTCCATTGTTCTTCATCTTTCAAGGATGAACAAGAGTCTTCAAAGGTCTGCATTAGCAATTAAATACCTTATCTGAATAGAGAACTGGAATTCTTAGCTTTTCCTATTTTGATTAAAATTGTTGCCATGGTGAGGAGCTCACTGTATTCTGAAAAAAAAAGGTGATCTAACCTGATGGATAGGATGGAAAGTAGATTTGGGTGCTATCACACTGACCTTTGAAGAGAAAATGCTACCATTTTGCCAGTGCTGAAATTTAATTTCATAATCCAGACGTTGAATATATTTGGATGCAAAGATTCCATTTGCCTGCTACACTTCACCACAGCTGTAAAACAAAAGATAATGTATGCTGTCAAGAAGAATGAAATAATGGCAATAGGTAATAGCGTTTGAAATGTTTACAAACCTATAAATAAAAACTGTTCCATTAATATAAATGAATATAATCAAATGCCTACATGATAATTGCTACATGCATAATATTGCACAACCTATCTGTTTTTAGTACATTTTGTTGCAAATTTTATGGGCTACAAAAGCAGCCATCATTCATAGGTATTAATTTCTGCAGTGTAAAATGAACATCCTTTCATATCCTTTCATTAAGAGTTCACCATTCCGTTTTATAAGCACTTACTGGTAAGGATGAGTCTCATTTTTAACCAGCTGGCCATGGATAATGAAAAAGATACAATGTAATCGGATGGCACAACTCTATACCAAGTATAAAACTTCATGATAAAAAAGAAAAACCTATTTTTTCTAGTCAAAATATTAGATAGTATTTACATTAGAGTGATTTAATGGGGGGTGTTCCTCTTTAAGATAACATCTTGGCACCGTCTTCCCCCTGACATTCAACAGGTTCCTATTCTCGTGGCCTTTTGAAAAGACCTGACTTTTCCCACAAGCCACGGTGGACAAGTGGGGTCATGAAGCTGGAATCCAGGAAAGCTGTGATAAGTATTCATGTATATTCTGTGTTTAGGATCTGGGCCTCTTCTGTTTTGTTTTTTAAATGCTTATATTGCTTTTATTCTTTTTATCTTTTTACCCAGGGTTGTATTAAATGAGATGAGCAGCTGTAGCAATATTTTAAATAAGTATTTTTTTTAAAAAAAATATTCTGCTAGAGTAATTGACAGAAAAAGTAAAAATCTACACAGCCTTAGAGGATCTACCTAATTTCAACCCTCATCAGCACTGCAATACAGAGGGGGGGGGAGAATAAGGAGAAGTCCTAGGTAGGCATTATGTTGTAAACATAACTTCCAAACCTTTAACCATCAATTTTTATTGATCATTTGTTGAAAAACTTTGATAAACAAATGTGGACAAATGGCACACATCAACAAATAATTGTTGAAATACCGGTGCACACTTTTCTTTTCCAGTGGTATATATGCAAATAATCAAAGTCCACAAGTCTTGTGTTCCTTAATACTGGAATGCATTAAGAAGTACAGAGGCATCTTCAACATACAGTGATTGATCTGGTTGTTCTATTAAAACTTCTGTTGTTCTCAGCATAACACCTGCATAAGTTGAATACAATGTCAAGAATATTTTTTAATTAATTTTAAGTTTGTAAGTTTTAAAAACAGTTCTTTCCAAATAAAATTGATCCAAAGCAATCATGCTGTGAGAAGCTCGGTTTATACCTTAGCATATTCTTAACTTGGACAAACAGGTCAAAATTAGTACAAGTCTTTTTTGTTTGTTTGTTTGTTTGTTTGTTGCGAGTTTTCTTCTTCATTCATTTTCCTTTGAGGAATTCATTCACTTTACTAAAAAAAAAAGTTTAAAAGGAAGAACGGACACTAGTTGTTTGTTCATTAGTTGCTATGGTGATATAGACAGAATATTTATTTTTTACTTGCTGTATTGACTAGTCTGAGCAAATAGACTGAGAAAAAAAAACTGTTTGCAGGAGCTCCATCAACATTAGGTATATCTGCAGTGATGACAACAAGAATTAGTAGGGGAAAACATATATTCATATGCATATAAAGGAGGAGCCATGCATATTACACCTTTTTTAAAGTAACATGCCAGGGTGGTCAAATTAAATAGTATCACTACAATTGATGGTATTTACTATTTACTTCGAATACTTCTAAGCCACCTGTTATTCTATCAGTCTTTGACAATGTTTAACAGAATGTGTGCATCTGTGAGTGAAAGCTGTGTAGGTGTGTGTTTCTACACAATTAATGACCACGAGGGAAAAAAAAGTGTTGTTATGAGATATCACATGTCAAGTTCTGCCTATCTGAAATAGTGTATAAGAAACATTCACACAAGATGTATGGAACAGACAGTGATTGCTGATCAGTTCAGATCTTGAGATAACAAACTTTCATAAATGGCTTACAAGAAATAATAAACCATTATTAGCCTATCAATAAAATTTTATTTGGAACCTCTGTTTACAGGATTACATTTCAGATTGCTGGCAAAACAACTATGTAACTGTTAATTGTGGAACTGCTATAAGATCATATTTGTTTTGAAAACATTGTACTGAGAGTTATTCTGCTCTAAAGCTACATTTAAGGAATTTGTCATGCTAAAGACAGACTGATTTTGCTAATGACGTGGGTGTATAGCAGAGATTCTGCTTGGCTATTAAGATCTAGTGGCATATCCTCCAGAGAGTTACATTTGCTAGTGATTTGTTGTATTCTGATCCAAGACAGAGCATTTACAATGCACATAGTTCTGTATGGAATTCTCTCCTTGATCTGGTGTAACTGATCAAATGACTTCACTGGAATTGGAAAGATTTTGTTTATTTGATTGATTTTCACCTTTTTGGTTAAATTTAAAAAGTGCTGGGGTGAGAGATAGGAACAAGAATTCTCTTTCCCACACTTTAAATTACTTACTCAATTAATTGAAAATTTGAGTTCTGAAATCCAGCAATTTAAATTTTGTGACTGGAACACAGGAATTAACAAACAATAAAGAGAAAACTATGAACCACATGCAGTCTATAGCCTCAGAATTGCCAACTGATTTGTTCAAATTTTCAGCAGTAACTGCTTTAAAATTAAATGATGTTAACTGTTTTATTAATTCAATTGCATCTCCAGTTTGAACTTTTTTAAAAAAAAAAAACCCAAGAAATTGCAGTATATAACATTTATAAACAAACAAACAATTAAATGAAGCATTGTAGCACTCAATTGTGAGCAATTAAGTCTGTTGTGCTTTTTATTTAAACACCAATTAAAGCTGTTACTATTCAAGCAAGTTTTTAATGGAGATTAGTTTTTTTTTACTTTTTTGTTGTGGATACATGCATTGGAACTGTTCAGGTTTCTTCAAACAATGCTTTTCTTTCTCATAAAATTATTACCATACTTAGTTTTATTTCTGCCCTTTTTTTACCTTTGGTCTGTTTTCCTTGGTTTCAAGTATCCATAATAATTGCTGATTCTACTATACTTCAATACTTCTATCATTGTTAGCATGACACCCTTAATTACTTAACTGACTTTGGATTAACATCTGTGTTCTGCTATGTTGTCACTTGAAATGAATGGCAATAATATTATGATTAATTTGGTCATCATGAATAGAATTCTGGGAACTCGTTTCAATATCCTAAAACATAAGATAAGATAAGATAAGATAAGATAAGATAAGATAAGATAAGGTAAGGTAAGGTAAGGTAAGGTAAGGTAAGGTAAGGTAAGGTAAGGTAAGGTAAGGTAAGGTAAGGTAACGTAACGTAATGTAACGTAACGTAACATAACATGCAAAATGAACACATTTTCTGAGTTCATTTTCAGGATTATTTCTAATTAGAGAAATAAGCCAATTTGATATACTGTATTAATAGTATGCAATTGAGATTCTTTTACAATGGAAAATGTCTGAACTGACTGATCAAAAATTAAAAATGTGTGCAATTCAGTTCTATGTATTTATGAAAGTAATGCTATGATAAGACAGAAAGAGATATAATTTTCAGTTTGAAATGCAAAAAAGACAGTTTTTTAATTTGGATAAATTAAATATCATATTACAAAACTGAACTTCCATCTATTTTGAGAAGTGCCAGATAGCCCACATGTGCTACATTCCGAAAAGTTATATATGATATAATATTTATTTGTTGTTCTCCTGTAACTTTGGGAGCAATTTAGGTAAAGTTAACTTGAAAATCACATAGCAAGACCTTTAAAAAAATTATTGATGAAGCACTTAATTTAAATTTTGTACACAATCTTACAAAGTAGTTGATGAGGAAGGGCTTTAAGTTAGAATAGATGCTTATATGCAAAGATTCCAGTATCTATGCTTATCATTTCCATGTATGGCTGAAACAAATCTGACCTGAGAAATTAAACAGCTATTGTTAACATTATAAACAATACTAACATCAAGTGACTAATGGTCCAATCAAGTATAAGTACTTCCTGGATCTGTTTCAATTCTCTCCCAAAATATTAGTCAAATTTGAAAGAAATTCTTGTATGATTAATAACAATTAATGGAGTGCAGTTTGTTTTGGTGCAGTTGAATCAGTTTCTGATTCCTGCTGACTGTAGAGACCTTTCAAAGTAGTTTTTCTCAACCTTGACAACTTTAAGAATTCTGGAGCTCAACTCTAAGCATCTTAAAAGTTACCAAGGCTGAGAAATACTGTGCTAGAGCATATAGTGTACACAAAGCTATAGAGCAAGGCTGTGTACAGCATTATTGGTCGAAACTTGTGTCACTTCTGAAGCAGAATCCCTACCTCCTCAGTATGCCCATCTAAAAATACAAGAGCCTGAATCTAGTCCAGATAAATAAAGTTGTTGTTGTTAATTGCAAAGTTGTGTCCGACCCATCGCAACCCCATGGACAACATTGCTCCAGGACTTCCTGTCCTCTACCATCTTCTGGAGTCCATTTAAGCTCACACCTACTGCTTCAGTGACTCCATCCCAGCCCAGTAGGATTATCTAAAATGAGTTGAAATAAACAGGATCAATTATGTCTTCAATGTTCCACATTTGGATTCTGCCAGCGTGCATAGGGGATGAAACTGGGCAAGACTGCATATTCATAAACTAACGCAGTTAAAATGTGGGTGGATTTTAGCATGCTCATATTTTATTTAAACAACATTAACTTAACATTTATAGTTTCAACAGCGATTTTATTTTTTTTAACCGAAGATGTATTAAAGGTTGCCAACTTAAGTTTGCAACCCAAATGTAAAAATATATTCTTTAAAAAAAAAATTTATGTGGTACATAAAGAGTCAACTGAAAATGTCTGCATTCCACTAAGCAGCATCAAATGTGTAATTATATAAACAATTCCATGTGTTCCTACAGTTTGTATCAACATATTTCTAACCAAAGAACAGCAATACAAAAGAAATTTAAAAAAAACATTAAACTGAGCCATAGAAATTTAATAACTTCCATGTTATTTCTGAGTCTGCATCTTAAATATATCATGCTACACTTGGCCTCAATGTACCAAACTACTGAAGGAGACTTCATTAGCATTTGGACTCCAGGTTTTACAGACTCAATATATGAAGCACTTTGATTTTTAAAGGAAAAAAAAAAGTGTTTTTCAGCATGCAGTGGCTTCTTAAAGCAGCTGCAGATTGCATAGCTGTCTTCTGCAGGCTGTAGCATGATCTCTGGAAACAACATATCAGGTTGAAAGGAACAATGATTAGGGTTACCTGTGCATCTCCACTCATTCTAAAGCCGCTTTGGTGACCAAACAGAGCTCTGGAATTAAAAAGCAAGAAGAGAATAATAAACAGAAGAAAAACAGCAGCCCAATCTGGGGAAATATAAAGTATAAGAAAGAAACTCAAAATAACCATGCTTTGATTTAGTCTGATATAAGACCAGGCACAGATGACTTCTGACAGGCTTTCAAGAGTCTTCTACCCTACCTTACAACACAAAAGAACATACCTATGATCCCTGCTACTTCTGTTTCTTCATCTTGCCTATCTCAAAGGGCTAACAACTTTTCCCCCTTCTAATTCAACCTTCTACAATAGACTCATACAACTAGAATTTTTAAGGAACTGGAGGGATGTTGTCAAATTCAGCAGAGTGTGACTTCTATTGTTTCCTGAATCACACAATGCATTCTGTGGCATACTGTTTCAGTTCAATGGTATATGCATCCCTAGAACAGATTGATGGATGGTGCCTCTTCTGGTCATTGTAAATATTTTTTTAAAAAAAAGTATTCAGAAAGAAGGCCAGTGGTGGCATCCCCTAAGCTTTGGCACCTTAAGCAGGTACCAACTCAAAGTTGATATAAAGTCAATCTTGGTGACATATGAAGGTGCTCACTTTAAAGATGGCTAGGCTCAGGATCCAAACTTGATTCAATTTTGGAGGTTGTCTTGATCTGAAGCAGCCATTTAAAATAATGCAGACTTGGACTCCTGTTTTAAAATGGCATCAGTTCTCATGAAGACTGAAGGCTTGGGATGAAAAGTCACAATCCTCCTTTTTTATGTTAATTTCTGAAATTAATCTTTGGACATTATCTAAATATATTAGAGCTTTTTTTGCACATGTAATTATTTTCACATGTAACATCACTTCCATGCATTTCTTCATGCAATAAAATCACAGTGAAAAAAAACCATCACTTGTGTTTCACAGTTAAGATTTTCCTTCTGAAAGAAAATGGTATTTTCTCTAAACCAATATTAATTTATACTGCAACAGAAATAAGGGGGAATTCTCTGCCTTCCTGTTAATAAATGGATATATACATTTTTAAATAAGTTTGGAGACTATTATATGGTGACAGATTTTGATGGATAATGGACTATTATTTTTAACAAGAAAAAAGTTTATGTTTGGCAATAAATCCTTATGATTTTTCAAGCTTATAAAGCAGTTAACTTCTATATATAAATCCAAGAAAATACTATAGTGTGGTATAGCATTTTCATTGAATACAATGTATTTTAGAAATACTTGTACCAAAATGTTTGTCCAACAATGTTCACAGAAGTATTAAATAATTTTGCAATGATAATTATGCAAGGATCACAAGTTGGTGCTATAAACTGGGATGTCTATCTACTAACCATCCCTTCCCCTCACTTCAGCTCACCTAGTAACCTGTTAATCCAAACTATAGTATGTCTCATGGAGATACCAAGAAAATTCCAGAAAGCTGAGGGAAAAACAAATTGCTGCATGTATCTCAAGCACATGAGCCAAGCAGTCTATGAAATAAATATCAAGATGATGGATAATTAATATTCAAGATCCTTAGATAATCCTAAAAGAAAAGGTCATTTTTTCTGGGTCCATGAAGACGTGAGGTCCCTTTAAAGAGGACAAAATGAAATAAAGCATTGTGAATGATTTAGCATTTTGGAGTATCGCATGAAAGCTGTATTTGAAAAATGTATTTTTCTGTAAAATGCCAAGACAGGAAGAAAGGTTTACTGGCTGATTGACAAGTCTCTGTTCAAAGCCAAGGGCATATTCATCAGGGGCATTCTTAACATATAGTGCTTTATGGCAGAGATACTGAATCATACATTTTCCACTGCCAGCAAATGTCATCACATTTGGGGAAACAAAACAAAACCTGCAGATTGCTTTGTTTTTAATAGCAACCTATATATTGGCAGGAACATTTTACTAAGTCAGACCTCTATATGTCTATTTTTTGTAGATACTGTAAAATAGATGGGCTTCACTTTTTAAAAGGTTAATTTCCCCTCAATCTATAGACTCCCTCTTATTATCCATCCCTTTTCTCATCAGTCTAAAATTGGGCAAGCAAAATGTGCAGAAAAAGGGGCAGCTATGCCAACAAATGTAATCTCATTTTAAAAAAATAATCTGAATTCAGCAAAATATCAAAACAAGTTCAGGAAGAATATTAGACAATGCAACTGCCTCATTTGCACTATCTGCTGTGGCTTGGTGAAGCACAAAGTTATAGTATATTTGTGTAAGCCAAAATATCAGATCCAAATTAAGATCCAGAGCTACATAAATTGGTACTGAAGTACATGATGCATGGTCCTCATTCCAACAGGAACTCGGTGTGTTGGTAAAATAGTACATGCAGTAAGAGATACTGAAAGGCATTCAACAAGCATATCTGCTATGGTGATGATTCATAACCTATCTACAAGAATGAGTTTTCAGAAACAGGAGGCCATAAAGCAGGATGACAGATTATAACTTCTCAATGGTACCTGATCATGTACCTGTTGAAGGTGTTCAATTGTCATCTCAATGTACAAATATGCTCATTAGTTAAATCTGTTAAACATCAAAGTATATCAAGTATACCATGATAGGCAATTTTTTTTATTGAACAGAGAAGACAAAATCAAACAGTACTTGACAGACAGATATATTGGGCCCTCTGAAACTATTGCATTGATACTTGGATTTCAAATTCATGAGAGAAAGCCAGACATTTTTTTGCCTTTGTGCACCTTCCACAATAGCATCAAGCAGTGCTTTGTTTGTAAGAAAAAAGGTGTCGGAACTCAGCCTCCCTCCCCCCCACCAGGCCATTCCTTGATCCGCAACCTTTCACTCCCCTCCTGAGTTGGACTGCCATGCTAAGGTGGATGGGATGGGGGGGTAGTTGGAGCAGGGGAGAGTGATGGTGAATGGCTCCACTGCCACTGTGCACTGCTGGAGGGGCTTTCTTTAAGCTTCAACCTGCAGATCACCTGCCTGGGCACAGCCGCCCCCTCCTTGTCCTCCGCCAACTCTCCCATGGCTTGCACCATGACCAGTCAGCACAAGCCTCCCCCGCCACTTCCTTCCACCAGTACTTTGTCACCTGTCTCACGGAGAACAGAGAACACAGCAGCCATGCGCAGGAATGCAGAGCAGAGAACAGCACTTGCTTGCTGCCCTGCATTGCCCCACGTCTCCCTTCTGGAACTGGCATCCCCATTTCCTGTCTCTTCTCCTGGTGCAGCTCCTCCCTCTTCTGAAAAGCATTTCTTTGCTAACCTGCTTTCCAGCTCTGGCGTGTTTCTCTTCTGTTGCAGTTTGTGGGACTAAAAAAAGTTCAGCCAGACCTTCCAACTCCTTGTGAGATCTTTTTTTTTTTTTGCAAGAAGGTCTGACTGAACTTTTTTTATTTCCACAAATTCCATTGAAAAAAGGTGCTGGAACGTCATTCTGTGCATTCTATAACAAAAAAAAAAGCCTTGGCATCAAGTAATATTTCCAGATAATGTTGCTGGGCAACTGAATATTGATATGGCAAGAACCACTACAACAGAATTCATTCATCTTTGCAAGCATGTTCCATTTGCAAAAACATTGTACAATAACATCTAGCAATACTCCAAGATTCTATACTGGGACTAATAAGGGGTGGAAAAGAAGGATGATTGGGAAAACAGTGGAAGAGTTTTCCAGAATTTTTGAACCCAATGTATTGGGTCAGGTGTATACCATTTCTTCACCTCTACTACTTGATAATGTATCATCATCCTATAAAAAAACCAGTATGTTTCAAATCATTGAAGACACTTAATGGACATATCTGTTTCTGTCATTCAAAGATGTCTGCAAAGAAAGGATTGTTGCAAGCTGATTATCATTGGTAACACTTTGGAAGATGCCGAAAAAACAAGACTCTGCATAATATCATGGTCAATAAGAAAATCATGAACAAGCTCTTCTGTATTCCCCCCCCCCAAAAAAAATAAACCTTGAGAAATTGAGAAAAACCCTTGAAGAATGTAACTTGCAAATACTGACAGTATAATTAATCAAAATGATGGCAATCACAGGGGGTCTGTGTCCTCTTCAGCAGACACAATTTTCAATAGTATCATGCTTTGCTGTCACTATACCTAAAGTGCAAGGACAAACCATAGAGAATGTGCTGGTTTATCTAGAGATACTGGTATTTCAGCATGGCCACATCTGTATGTCACTTTAAGCTGAGAAAAAAGAAGTGAAAATGTTAGAATATTCTTAAAGAATGGCAGACCACCCACAAATGGGCTTCCTTTGTTGAATGAAAACCATGTATATTTGTCCTCCTACACTCATGTCTTCTTCAATAAAATATTTTCTTCTTTCATTTTAAAACCAAAACACTAGCAATCCACTGATGGTCATTCTGTTTCTCTTTTTAGGTAAGGAAATATTTATGAAATGGGTTGCATGTTGTCTAGTCTACTTCACAATTTTCACTGAGTTCACAACATACTGCTTCCAGCAAAGTTTGTATATGATTGATGACCTTCGGTACATAAAACTGAATTTCAGATTTTCAACTCAAAAGTATGTTAACTTGCTTTAAAGCTTTAACTTTTTTTAAGCTTGTACCCAGAAATAGCCTTGTAGGCTCAATAGTTGATTTAACCTATTACTATCCAAAAACGGTATTTTGGTTTTACTTTTCCTTTGAAATAACTCCTTCCCCAAATGTTCCTCAGTACATTTTCAAAGGACAGCAAGAATAAAGTCAGAAATTTAGGTTGAAAACAATAATCACTGTTTCTGAGATGATATCATTTATTTAACCTCATCAGTTAAATAAAATAGTCACATAAGTTATATAATTTGTTTAAATATATCACTTTCATATCAACAGTATCAAACTATTCTCAAACTATTGATCTGCTCTTTTATTTTGAAATGGGTTTTCTTTTTTCATCTTGAAATGCTGCAATAATAATGTGATTATTGATAGAGAAAATATTTCTCGCAATTATACTTGAGCATTTGAGCTGACAATGGGAAATATT